AGGTTGGAGAACGTAGATTTCTCAATCAGAGATTATTGGTGGCAGATAGTATCTTCAATGGAAAAGACACTGTCATCAAGAGGCTTTGCTCAATTCTTGACTTGGCTTGACAGAGTTATTTGGACAATATAGAACTGAGATGAAATTGAGGAAATTCAGCAGTTCTGAAAACTTTCTTGTCTGAACCACCTGACACAGTAGTTAGAACTACTACTTGTTTAAATTTCTATCAATGTATGCTGATTATAATAGCAGTTATTCTTTACTGAATCCTATTTGAAGTCATTTTGTTAATCTGAGCTGTGAAAGTCTTTTGTGTTAAGCATTTCTTTTTCATATAGGAAAAAATACCTGTCCCACACATGATTTATCTTTCTTTACCCCACTTTGTGGAGAGTTTATTCATGAGTCCAAACTTAATCTTTAAGTAAATCTTTTCTAGGAGAGCAAGTGTGGGGGTATAATAAGACAAAAAGAATAATCATGTCCAAGTTTCTTTAGAATTAAATTATGTTTGAAATAAATATGTGGGGAAGGTACTGTTTCTTAACCTCACCAGCCCCACAGAAACAGGTCTGTATTGTTAGAATTTTATTTCTAATATCTACCTTGGTATGTGAATTACTTGTGACAAGATTAATATTATGTCATTTTGGGACACTAATGTGTGATTCTACTGAAAAAAATTACACTGAGTTTGTTTCCCCATATTTAGTCAATTTTCTGTCAGTTGAGTGCTGGATTTCATTCCATACACAATATGTTTCATTGTCTTCTGTTCTTGTGCTCCTAATTCTTTTTTAAAATGAATGTTACTTAACATGGCTAATGTGGGAAACGTTTTTCATGACTATATTTGTAATGGGTTTTGTATTTCTTGCCTTCTTGATAGAGTGAGGAAGGGGTGAAAGAAAAAATAAAATGTAGAATTGAAAGTAAAATAAAACTAAATAAAAAAATGAAATTACTCCAAGAAAATATATAAAAGTTGATGTTTTAAAGAACACTTACATAAATGTTAGCAATATTACTGTTACTTTGAGGGTGGGGAATTCAAGCTTTGAAGGGATCATTCACAACTACAGTGAAATAGGATTAATAACATTGAAACAAAAAACTCTCTTTAAATTTTAAAACAATATGCTGAACAGATAAACTATTTGTTTTTTGAAAATTAGTTTACTCATCAGAAGCTTAGCAAAGACTTTCAGATAAATCTATCAGCTTTACACATTGACTAATTCCACTGCAATACAAGCTAGTCATCTTGAAATTAAAAGAAAGTTAAAAACAACTTAAATTTCTTTTTAAGTGAACAGCTACTTGTCATTGTTTTGAAGAAGATATCCTTGTCACAAGCAAGATAATTATTTAAAGATTGGAGTTTTGAAAGATAATTTTTATTGATTAAAATTACTTTATCTGAAGTGGCCCAAAATTGTCAGAAGTATGGGTGAACATATTTAAATCTTTTCATCAGATGGTAAAACATCTATTCCCTTACCCCCAAATAAACATTTTTATGGTCTTTTGTTTCCAGTGGTTTTAGAAGTCCTCTTCTTTATGAGGGAATTATGAACTTCAATTAATATATTAGTGAAGTGAGAAGAAAAAATTATCAAGATTGCAAAAATTCCTCCATATGAAGGGAATATTCCAACATGACCTTGCTTCATGGCTGATGTAACAAAAAAAAATATTAAGACATTTATCCAAGAAATGAAGATAATCATGGCTCAGAACTTGCTTCATTCAAACTACAATGAATGGATTACAATGGATTACAATCATCGCTAGATTTGGAGAAACAAAATAGTTTTCCAAAGTTTGTTTCCTTTCCAAGTATTATATGTGGTTTCAGGATGAATTAAAGAATATGACTCTAAGTCTTGGGGAAATTATGCCAAATTATGTAAAACAAGTGATTGCAGTAACAGGAGGATATGTTGCATGTTAAGCATGTTTATTTTTATTTTATTTTATTTTTGCCTTTCAGTGAGGCAATCAGGGTTAAGTGATTTGCCCAGGTTCACATAGCTAGTAAATGTCAAGTGTCTGAGGTCAGACTTGAACTCAGGTCCTTCTGACTCCAAGGCCAGAACTCTCCACCCACTGTGCCACTTAGCTGCCCCAAGTATGTTTAAAGATGTAAAAAAAAAAGTTGTAAAGTTTATTGTATAAAGCAATAAATTTAAATATCATTATACCCCAGTTGATTTGCACATCACAATAGCAAGCAAAATAACCTACAGTATATATGTAATATGCATTGTTGAAAGATTGTGAATTAGTTATTTGGATAGGGTTTTTATAGTGACTATTATGCACTAGGCACCATGCGAAATGCTTTAGAAATACTATCTCATTTAATGCTCACAACAACCTGGGAGGTAGGTGCTGTCAACCCCATATTTACGCTCATTATTATACCCAGCTGAATTAAACAGTCAAAGTAAGGTTTTGGGGAGCTCTTGTCACCATTTGGTTGGGAGAGACTCCTTATGACCCACCATGTTTTCCTTCCCCTAGTCCTGCTGTAATTGTTTCTATAACCAGAAGAGTGCCTTGAGTTAGAGATGGTCATATGAAAGGGCACACTAGAATCCTCCATTACCTCTGCTTAGTTACCTCTGTCCCCAATCTCTTCCTGTTCCTCCTGAAAATGACAGTATCTATTATACCTTTCCCCTCTTCCCTCTGCAGCAAAGCAGGGTGATCTCTGGTTTGAGAAGGGAGTAGCCATGTGGAGTATAAATACCACCTGCTTTTCACCCTCTCTATCTGGTTCAACTGTTTTGCCTAGTTTTTTTTTTCCCTTTCTACATACCTCTTGACAACATTTTAGTATTTTTGCTATGAAAACAAACAAATGACCTACCCAAGGTGTTATAGCTGGTATCTGAGGTCAAATTTAAATTCAGGTCTTTCTAACTCTAGACCCAATTATCTATCCACTGTCCCACCTACATGCCTTTGTGTTAGATATTTTCCCTACCATCAGACTTCAAGGGTAATAATGTTCCCTCAGCCTTACTGGCCAAGGTGAGGAAGAAAAGCCTTGCAAACCAAGAAATCTGGATTTCCTGTCTAAGTCTCCCTGCAAGAAGATGTAGATGTGTAGAGAAGAATAGTGGATTGAAAATCCATCAATCAGAAGACCAAGATGTAAGCAATGGCTTTGTTATTTCTTATTTCATATGTGACCTAAGGGAGGCATTTAATCTTATGATGTTCTCAGAATAATGACAATATTTCTGATACCTACCTAATAAATCACATAGCACCAAAAAGTCTTAGGTGACAATTATATAATCAGCTCTGAATGGTCAAGAATGTATTTTTACACCATTATCTGGAACTAGGACAGTGAATTAGCAACTATCAAGATTTTTTTTTCTAACTCTGTTTCTTATGTAAATGAACAGTAAGCTGACAGAGGAGACCAAAAGGCCAGGGAGTTAAGATCACCTTTTTAAGACAGGGTATTAACCTCCACACCTGGCTTGTGTTCACTACATTAGTTTAACACATTCGTCTTAACTCCTTCCTTTGCTCCAGAAGACCAATGATATTGAGCAAGTGGGGGGAGGGAGAGGTAAGCCAAATAACAGTATACTTCAACATTTCCACATAGACTATTTGAAAAAAATCAAAAGTACATACCCTATGTCAACACATAAAATAATGCAAATATTTCCCTGTCTTCCAGCAGCAGAGCATAGTGATCTCTGAGGTGAGAGGGAAGCAGTTATGAGAACTTTAAGCATCCCTTGCATTACTCTATCTATCAGGTTTGACTCCTTACCCCAGGTCTTTCCCTTTCTACATACCTCCTTTTGGTCTATATGTCATACACACACATATTTGTATACACACACACACACATATATATATATATATAATCACACACACACACATACTACGTATGATTTTTGGTGCAACAACATTGTGAGATAAGTTATATATGTACACACATATATTACACAATACATAAAGATATGTGCATACACATGCACATACCTACATATATATGTACTATCTGACTCACAGTGTTGTTGCACAAATATATATACACTAATAGGATCTGTAGAATGTATGCTTACACATACATATATGTACATATATGTATTATATATACATATACATACATATATATTTAACTCAAGGTGTTATGCAGAAATCATATAGCAAAACAAAAAGTGCCATATGTAAATTAATACTTATGCTTATTACTCTTTTACAATTAAAGAAAAGCAACTTAGAAAGGTGAAGTAATATGTTTGATGTATCTAACATCACATAGAAATGGGGAAACTCAGGATTGGCATCAACCCCGATGTCTTGGGACTTCAGAGTGAATGTTTTCTGTTCTATAACACAATGAATAAGTAAGAGAATAAAGGAATACATGCCACATAAGTACAAGCATGGTATAAAATGTCCAAAATGACCAAGGAGAAAGTCACACTGACCTGTGGGTGCTTGAGCTAACCACATCTGTCAGGTAATACTCAGTTCTTGGCATCACATTTTCTTGAAAACTGTTGAGTAGGAGATCTGTGTTATGGTGAGAAAACTTATTATAGGGTAACTTTTTGAATGAATTAGACATTCTGAGCCTCAGGAAAATAGAATTTGGTAGAGCTTATGATCCGTGCCTTCAAATATTTAAAGGGCTATCATGTGTAAGAGACTTGCATTGTTTAAACTGAGAAAGTACAAGGGCTAATAATCCTTCTGTCTCTAATATTTTCTTTGCTAAAATCCTATCTTCCTCTAACAACTTCTGTTTTAGAGTCCTTTCTTCATTTTAGTATCTTTGATAGCTTCTCAGTCATTAGCTGGTCCTTCATCTGTACCAAGTCATTTTATTGGGATGTAAATGGTGATAGTTTTTTGGTACAGATTATGAAAAGGTCAGATAACCAAAATACGCATGCACTGAAATACAGTAGGGGTCGCTCCCACAGTTCCCAAGTGTGGGGGAAGCCAGGTGTGGCTTAGCTGTCGCTGTCACTGTCTCCAAGGGTGTGCATGTCAAAAAGGTATTCTGCCATGCCAGAATTTGGGACCCCCATTTTGCTCAGGTTGGTTACGTGATCACCCAGTTGTTTGATGGACTTTACCTGTTCGTCCAGGTAGTGGGTTTCGATGAAATCACATAAATGGGGGTCGTTCTTGTCAGTTGCCAGCTTGTGCAATTCCAGTAAAGACTGATTGACATTTTTTTCCAAGTGCAGAGCACACTCCATTGCATTCAGCCCACTCTCCCAGTCATCTCGGTCTGGTGTCTTGATGACTTGTAGGAAGATCCAACCGCCTCGCTGATTTTGCAGTTTCATCAGCTTCTCAGCATGCTCCCTCTCCTCGTGGGATTGGTGTAGGAAATATTTGGCAAAGTTCTTCAATGCCACATCATCTCGGTCGAAGTAGTAAGACATGGACAGGTAGACGTAGGAGGCGTAGAGCTCCAGGTTGATCTGCTGGTTGATGGCGGCCTCCGAGTCCTGGTGGTAGTTGTGTCGCACCTGAGAGGGAGACGAGGTCGTCATGGCGGCGGAGGCGGCGAAGAGGGGAAGAAGGAGGAGGAGGAGGAGGAGGAGGAGGAGGAGGA